AGGGTTCTGATGGCTTCCCCTGCACCATCAGAGCCCTGGCCGGGGTGCCCCAAAACCACCCGCGCCCACTTTAGAGCACTTTGCAGGCTTTTCTTGCCTTTTTAGGAAAAGCCTGCAAAGTGCTCTAAAGCGGGCGTGGGTGATCGTGGTGCGAAAAAGCCCCATTGGAACAATAGTTTTGCGATGGGTAAAATGAACAGAAAAAATCCATCATAAAGCAATTTTGTTGTAAAGCGGGGCAACCGTCTAGCGAGACACCACTGTATTTCATCTTGTTTGAATCTTATTCTCCTGATGGCCAAATTGAGTCTCCCTCACAAACCATCCCTCTTTTAATAACATATGATGAATCAAATAAATCTTTTTAAAAAATAAACTTTTATTAATTCTCAAATAAATCTTCTTTTCCAAGGCAGTTTTAAAGCTCAGTTACTTCTCTTTCTAACTCTGTTTCCCTTTTAATATTATCTTCCTCCTGGAATTAGACCAACAAGAAGCTTTCAGCTGAATTCTCTCTTGCTTCTCTTAAATTTCTCCCTCTGAGGTGGTAGATGCTACAGCAGCTGCTCATCTAGTTATTCTCTTTCATGTTCCCAACACTAATCCAGGAGACTCAGTCATGAAGATCATTTAGACCTTGATCCAACAATGTTACTTTGTAATATTTTCCATTGTATAAATCTCTGAAGTGTACCAGGAAACCCCAGTTACAGTGGTGCCTCGCTTGACGACGTTAATCCATTCCAGCGAAATCACTGTAGAGCGAAATTGTCGTCAAGCGAAAGTAAAAAGCCCATTAGAATGCATTAGAAACTGGTTAATGCATTCTAATGGGTGAAATACCTCATCGTAAAGTGAAGATCCTCCATAGGGCGGCCATTTTCTGCTCCCTGTAGAGAGAACAATCCATCCCTAACACAGTGGGGAGCCATTTTGAACAGCAGGCGGCCATTTTGGAAACCTGACGATTAGCTATTTTGATAGTCGTAAAGTGAAAAATTGGTTCCCGAAGCAGGGAAATGATCATCATAAAGCGGTTTTTTGCTATCTAAACATCATTTTGCGATCACAAAAGCGATCACAAAAACCTAATCGTTAAGCAGATTCGTTGTGGAGCAGGGTAATCATTAAGCGGGGCACCACTGTATATTTTCTATATTTTATTGTTCTTCATGAAGACTGCTGTGATTACGTTCATATTACATTTCTGTAACACCGTTCAATAACAAAGATCAGAGTACACCTGAGATTGCAAAATAAACCATGATGATCCGAGGGGGGACAACCCTCTTTCACATATTGGTCCCACTCTATACAGTCTCTGGTTCTTCTACATATTCCAGTCTTAGTGCTACTGTATTAATCCATTGTAGTACAGTGTCTTTAAGATTATGTCTTCAACTGCAGTTTCTGGAAATCGACATAATTTCACATTTTTCCTGTCCTCCAGTCAATCAGAGGTTTGTTTGTTTGTTTTTAAAATCAATTTCCATGAGCTTATCGTCCTGCCAGTATAACTTTCTGGCACTAGACTTGGCTATTCGGTCAATCTCTTCAACTTTTGAGCCCAGTGTTTTCATTTCATCCTTATCCTCTGATATTGCTCTATGTATCTCAGCTTTAATTTCTGGCAGTTTTCTGCCTAGTTTTCCCCATTTCTGTTTTCAGCTCTTTTTAAAGTATTGCTTTAAACTCTGATGCATTTTCCATTATTATTTTAATTTTAGCTTCCTTTTCAATTTCACTGCTTTCACTTCTGAGTTACCTCTCTGTTTTTATCTCTATACTCCAAGCCAACACTTCCTCCTTCCAGCAACTCTCTGTTTTGCTGGTTATCAATGGGTTCTGATTATGTCGCTTTCTCTCTAGGCTTATCTGGGTTATAAATCTCTCAACTTTTTATAGAGATTACACATGGTCCAGTTGATTCAACCCTTTGAAGTCTGGCAGAATTGCTCCCAGAACATCCTGAAAACTGGGAGGGTGATATTTTTCATGAATCTAGTTCTTTATTTCTCCCCTTGTCCCCCACCGCCTTCTGCCACTTTGGCATCCATGTAAACTGTGAGAAAT